AGAGAGAGAGAGAGAGAGAGAGAGAGAGAGAGAGAGACTCGTTTTCTCCCTTTGCTATACAGGTCCTTTACATATATATTATAGTTTCCTGGTTTGTGTTTCTATGGGATTCCCAAGTGTGCAAATAAGTGGCTTTCTGCATCTATATATGCTTCCTGGGTTCTTTTATCATTTGTCTGCTTGCACTGTGTATTCTGATGTGTTTCTTTTTGTTTTATCTTATTATATTGTATTTTCTTATTAAAAATCAATGTGCAGAAGAAAAAGGTCAATTGTTCTACAAACAGTCCTCAGTAATAAATTCTTCTTAGATGTCATATGTTCACAGAGATTGTTTGCCTCTACATGTTTTAGGCTAAGGGTATCTGTGCAATTTCTTAGGAGTAATAACAGTGGTAGACTTTGGGGGCAGTCCTGCCTCCCTTAACAATGCATACATGTTCTAAGGAATGCATCTTCAAGGTATCTCATCATTTTCTGGACATCATAAAGTGTGTTTATACAAACTTAGACTCAGTTCATCAGTCAGAGTAACCCGCTGTGACCAAGAGATTTAGTAAACACAGACATATAAGAGCCCACAGTGGAGATCAGCTTGGGAGCCAGCTTGCGCGCACGTCCGGTCCCTCCTAAACGCTCTCCAGGGTGTTTATAGAAACCTCTATTCTTTTCCTCACCGAACACCCGACTGTCTATTCTCGAGGTCCACGCCCGAGAGATCTATGATTCCCGTGGGAACCCCACTGTTGAAGTTGATCTCTACACCTCAAAAGGTCTCTTCCGAGCTGATGTGCCCAGCAGTGCCTCCGCTGGCATCTACGAGGCCCTGGAACTCCGCGACAATGATAAGAGTCACTGCATGGGGAAGGGTGACTCAAAGGCTGTTGAGCACATCAATAAAACTATTGCACTTGCTCTGGTTAGCAAGAAACTGAACGTTGTGGAGCCAAAGAAGATCGACAAGCTAATGATTGAGATGGACCCCACTGAGAATAAATCTAAATTTGGTGCAAATGCCATCCTGGGAGTGTCCCTGGCTGTCTGCAAAACTGCTGCCACAGAAAAGGGGGTACCCCTGTACCGTCACATCGCTGACTTGGCTGGCAACCCTGAAGGCATTCTGCCGGTCCCTGCTTTCAACATGATCAATGGCGGTTCCCATGCTGGCAACAAGCTGGCCATGCAGGAATTCATGATCCTTCCCCTGGGGGCATCCAGCTTCCTGGAAGCCATGCGCGTTGGTGCAGAGGTTTGCCACAATCTGAAGAATGTCATCAAGGAGAAATACGGGAAGGATGCCACCAATGTGGGTGATGTGGGTGTTCACGCCCAACATCCTGAAGAACAAAGAAGCTCTGGAGCTGCATAAGGCTGGCTACACCGACCAGGTTGTCATCGGCATGGACGTGGCTGCCTCTGAGTTTCAGGTCTGGCAAGTATGACTTGGACTTCAAGTCTCCTGATGACCCCAGCAGGTACATCACACCCGGCCAGCTGGCTGATCTGTATAAGTCCTTCATCCAGGAGTATCCAGTGGTGTCCATCAAGGACCCCTTTGACCAGGACGACTGAGGCCTGGAAAATGTTCACATCTAGTGCCGGTATCCAGGTGGTTGGAGATGATCTCACAGTAACCAACCCTAAGAGGATTGCCAAGGCTGTCAGTGAGAAGTCCTGCAACTCCCTCCTACTCAAAGTCAACCAGATTGGCTCTGTGACTGAGTCTCTGCAGGCGTGTAAGCTGGCTCAGTCTAATGGCTGGGGCGTCATTGTGTCCCATCGCTCTAGGCAGACAGAGGACACTTTCTTTCATCGCCGACCTGGTGGTGGGGCTCTGCACTGGGCAGATCAAGACTGGTGGCCCTTGCCAATCTGAGAACCTGGCCAAGTACAATCAGATCCTTAGAATCGAGGAAGAGCTGGGCTGTAAGGCCAAGTTTGCTGGCAGATGTTTCAGGAACCCCCTGGCCAAGTAAAGTGGGTAGAGATCCTGGAAACACCTGCTGCTTAGACCCTGTCCCCGATGTCATCAAAGCAGCTCAAGGCCGGCCCAGTGCTTGGCCCTCCCATGCCACCTCTTCCTTAGGCCACCTGGAGCCCTGCTGGAAACACCAGCTTTGTAATTATGTGATTAACTGAGTCATTATTTCTGTCCCCTCACTTCCAAGCTAGTGTCTGAGCCCAGTGTAATCTCTAGGGTAGACACAGGCAAGAACCCCCTACCCCAGAAGTTCTACATACAAAATAAAAGCCCCAGTAAGAGCCAAAAAAAAAAAAAAAGAGCCCACAGTGTAACACTACATTGAGGTTCACAGTGGTATTTTTCTGTAAGTAGAAATAACACTCTAAAATAGTAAGAAATGTCTTGCATAACGAATCATAAACAAGTCAGACAACCATTTTTATCATTATCAAATATGCTTACATTATTTTTATGCTGCAGATAGTGTTTGAAGTTCATTACATCAACATGACCATGAGCAGTTGAGTGACACCTCTATCATAATAGCAGGGTGGATGGGAAATGAAATTTTTACTCCCATGGAAGTTCCACAGCACAGAGGAGTGAGTATGTGGTCTGTACTTGAATGAAAAATCATGATACAGCACATAGCTCTGCTATTAATTATTGTGGTGAGAATAGTTCTATGGTGGTAACTGTAAATACCTATAAACATCCTCCCAACAATGTTCACTAGTATTATTTGAAACTTACAAATGAAGAAAATGAGCAATGGAAACTTTAAACATAGACAGCCATAAGGATGACATGTCAACTCAAATGTTCAAGAATTAGGACTCCTGTGTTTTTCAGCGATGTCACATGTGTATAGCCTCCAAGTTGTAGACATGTACTCACCGCTGCTTCAAAACCCAGGGGCTGTTTGAAGACACGGGAATCTTGTCCCCTCATCTAGATTTAGAAAAACAAGTATTTTCATTAGGTTTTATTCATGGTGAGTGTTTCACAGTGAAGACTAAAAGTTGTGATGAATTCACAGTCACTCAGGTCAACTCAACCATCCACAGAAGTGAGGGATAGTGTTGTGTAAGCAAATCATTCTTGCCCGAAATAATTTTTATTCAATACAAAATTTAAAAACTCACATAATTTCTCATTAGAAACTAGCTAAAATTTGTTATTTCCCAGTAATGCAGACACAAACTATCACATTTGGCAAGCTAAGATGTCGATAAGCTGTGTAGACAGTTTTCAAGATGTTCTGGGAAACTGATAAATAAAAGTGTCCTAAAATCAATAGAAGTAACTGCAAAGACTTGCCTGTGGGCCGTGGCATTTCTAAGGAACTAAACATAATTGAATTCTAGTTCTTGGGGATTTTTTCTAAGTGACAAATGCCTAAGTTACTAAGAGAAGAATTCAGTTTGGAAAGATAAAACTAAAGTTATCAATATAACTCAAAGCTCATTGTAGTAGTCAGCTGAAGCATCATACAGGATCTAACAATCCTAGAGAAGTTGATGCCATTCTGCTTTGGATGCACATGTATAGGTTTTGAGTAGTTTTCCCTATCCATTTTCCTTTCAAAGAGTCTTAGTGATTTGTTATTGCTGGGTTTTGGCCATTAATAAAAGTGATGTTTCCTCCTTTTTTCTTCATTATCTCATGGAAGTTTAAGGTCATGTAGACGGGTTTTCCTTTGGGCTGTCAGCTCACACACACACACAAATGACATGGAGACTTATTAAAAATCCTGAAAGCTCAGTTTATAACTTAGGCTTGTCCCACTAGCTATTATAATGATCTCTTAAATTAACCCATTTATATTAATCTATATTTTGCCTCTTGCACCTCCTGTTTTCTCTCCATGTCCTCTGGCATCTCTCCTGTGCTTAGATTCATCTCCTTTTCCCTCTCTCTCTACCCCCAAATCCCATCTAACCTCTTGCTGCCTAACTATTGGTCATTCAGTTCCTTATTTAACCAATAAGAAGGTGCTTTGGTAAAGACCCATCTTTACAGTATCCAAAAAGATTATTCCACAACAATGTTTACTTTTGTCATTTCTTGGACTTTTTTATTGTAGCTAGGGGTTGAAAGGGCTGCCTGCAATTGGGCAGGCAACCCCAGTTATGCACCAGCAACTACTATGGTACAGAAGCTTAACCCACCATGCCACAAAGAGGGGTGCCAGAGGTTCGAAGACAGTGCATCAATATTTTAACTAATCTCTCTCTCTCTCTTCTATATATTCTCTATTCTCTCTCTCTCTCTCTCTCTCTCTCTCTCTCTCTCTCTCTCTCTCTCTCTCTCTCCCCTGACGTTAAACTACAGCACCCACCTGTCTCTTGATTCTGTCTCTCTGACACATTTTATTAATCTTAACTTATCTATACTCGCATGTTATCATCCAATACTAGTCTCTTCAGTGGTACTATCAAATTTTCTTGTCCATTGTGTAACCAGCCTTCTGAAAATTGTTTGTTCCTTTAAAAATGTAGTCCCATCTTTCTTCGAAATTATAAGCATTCCCTGGTGTTGAACTTTTCACTTTTCATGTCTCACTTATACATTTATCCATGTCCAATCATACCAAAGTCTCATGCTTTTCATCAGTTTTCTTCCTTTTCAATTGAAAAGTATGTTGAATGATTTCTTAATGTAGTATGTCACAAGTTATACACAGAGACATATATTTATATACAAATAATAAAATATATTTCCCCGAACTCAGTGTCCTACATAGTAATACAATGTTATGCATCGCTCCCATGAGCTCCCTTGCTGTCCTGTTTGTTTCTGCTTCCAAAAGAAAATTATTTTCTAAACCTTTGTCTTTCAAAATAGCCTTTGAAAAATTTGATCTCACACACTGTTACTTACAATCTGTTTTGCAATCTTTCTTCAGTAGTCAGTATGAAATCGCATAATGTCCCATATAGTCTTCTGAGGATTTCTTCTTTCTCAATATCATATTGACACTTACTCTTGTAATGCATTGACTTGTGCTGATGGATGGGATTATGACATGTTAGTCCACATCAGGAATTATCTAAGAATGTCTCTGATGATGTGGATGGAGATTTTCTTTTCTGTTTCATGTTGATTAAGACTGCTATAAAAATCTTATATATCTCTCCTGGCAAACGCTTGTATGCATTTATGTAAGGCTGCTGCTTAGGAATAGAAAACTTTGATGGTTTTCAAGATATGAGGATGTCTAAATTAAAACAAGCTAATGAATTGTTTTTTCAAAATATTTTACAAATTTATACTTCAACAATCAGTTGTTTCCTCTAGCCTCTTCTTAGACTGGTCCACCTACCATTTTACTGTTCTACCTATTTTACCACCTCCTTCAACTTCCCAGATCTCCTGGGAGAATTGCACTGTTAATTTGCTTGCTTTAGGACTCTGTCTGTATACCAAAGCAGGTCTAAGATTTCTCCAGACAAATCAGCTGTCTTTCTGATTCCTATAGTGTCTCCTATAGCCTTCACCTATGTGGGTAGATGCAAATTCATTTTCTTTTCCTTCCACTGTAGATTAGCTGCAAGAAAATTGATGCATTTTTAATGTACCTTTTTACTCACTATGGTCTTTCTTCTTGGCAATCTTAAAACTTAAATTCTGTGATGGGCTAACTCCTGGCCTCACTCCACATGGCTTCCATTACATAACTTGCTAGAGACTTTAGTCCAAGTATGTTCATTCCTAAGCAAATTGTTTGCTCTCCAAAAATGTTTAAGTCATATTTAGTAGTAATTTCTTGCATTTTAAACATTAATGGATGTGCCTAGTGAGCATAAAGCTATTAGGTAGAATTTCTGAAGAGCAATGAACTTGTCCCTTCCTCCTTTATCTCAGGAATGAGTTCTTAATGGGTTATCCAATACCAAGTGGAAAGCTTGCAGTTATAAACACACAAGCTACAATAACAGACTCAGCATGTTGTATTTATATGCTTATAAATGTATATGTTATATATCTATATATTTATTTACATATTTATTTGTAACCATTAAAGATAAAGGGGAGATGAGTTATAGAGATATTGAGGAAGCACAGGAGGGGTTGGATGAAGCAAAGGGAAGGGGGTAAACATGTAGTTATATTTTAATTCTTGTTGTCAAAAAAGAATTACAGAATTACCTTTAAGATACAAAAATCTTTGCTTTGTATATTTTTATTGCCTAATACAATGAGATCTTTGACTTCTAAAGAGAAATTTATATTTTTAAATAGTTTATTTCAACTACACTAAACACAGGGAAATATGACCCTTGTCTGGATACATGACAAGGTCTCCAGTTAAACAGAAAACAGTAGCTCAACAAATAACAAGATTTTCTTTGGTTCTGGTCAAATAATGTTTAGTATTGAACCAACCCACAAAACACTATAGTATAATTGTTACTCATGACTAATTCATAAGGTTTGCCTCAATGGTCCTAGGAGCTTTCAGTAGAGAAAATAGATGTGCAGGTGTGCCTGTATGTGTGTACCCATGCCTGAGTGTGTGTGTGTGTGTGTGTGTGTGTGTGTGTGTGTGTGTGTGTGTGTGTGATGGGTATATAAACAAAGTTTTGGTGTAAGTATTATAAAGGTTTTCTTGAGCCTTTCTGACTGAAGGAAAGTCAGAACTTTCTCTTGAGTTCCGAGGTCTTTGTCATCTTCTCATCTATGTTATTGTGTATTTAAAACCATTGGTGAGCCCAACCATGACCTTTTAGCTTTTCTTTTAACTATTTATTTATATTTCATGATTTAATCTACTTCTCTATCTTCTCCAAATATCTTTCTGTTCCTGTTCATTTTTTATTCTGTGTGTCACATAGCTTCCAGAAATGATATATACTATACCAGAGACAGGCATGGCTTTCTTCTGCACATTATAAAAGTTTCAACATATGTCTCACTGCATAATTGTTGTATACATTGTTTCTTTATATGCCCAGTGGATGTCTGAATTAAACATGAGAAAGGAAAACTTTTATACTACTGTCTATGTATGTTGTCCAATAATACAACTGCATATTTCTAAGAACTTTAGTTGCAACTCACCAAATAATTGCCTGATAAATAAGAGAGAAACACATTTATTAAATTATCAATTAGTTTAAGATAATAATGTATGCATATAACACTTTGGAACCATCTAGACTGAATATAATTGATGTAACAATGAAATGAATTCCCAATGAAACCTCAGGCCCTACAAGTAGCTTTCCCTGTGGGTACACAAGGTATCCAGAGATCCCCATATACCGAATAAGTCAACAAATGTTTGGCAAAATACACTGTAAAATACAGAAAAATGGTCCTTTCAATGCCATGAGATCTTTGAGTCATTTTCTGCATATTACTGATGGGAACTTTATTATTTGTCATTCATTAACATCTTTGTCCAACCTACATACCAGTCATTTCATAATCTTTATCATTTCGTAAGTTCTGGCATATTATGTGCCTTGATTTTTCATTCTCAAAATAAAGAAGATCTTTAATAACTGTTTTCCAAAGCAAAGCAAGATAGCATCAGCATTTTACTGATGTTCTCACAAAGGCATACAGCCTCAATTATTTGTAAACCATATGAACTACCAAAATTATGTCATGTCTTCAATTTATAGCAAGTATATTAATTCATCTTCTCAACCAAAATGAGTTTCCCTTTTCTTCACATCTTCACCATCTCTTGCTATCTTTTTGAAGTAATTGCAACAGATATGATAGCATAAATTATTATTATTTAAATTAGATTTCTGTGAAGATCAGCCAGGCAAAACAATTTTGTATATATCTGTTAGCCATCTGTACATCTTCTATGGAGAAATGGAAATTCTGATTCTTTTCTCACTTTAATTCAAAACATTCTACTTTTGCATAATTTATTTAATTTCCTTATCTGTCTTGGAAAGCAACTCATTATAAGATGTATGGTTTGCAAATGACTCTTTCCTATTCTGTAGAGTTTTATAAAATTATGATGACATTGATTTATTTCTTTATATGTAAATGAAGTTTCTCAATAATATAATTTTATTTATTTATTGCCTGTATTTTGGTGGGCATCACCAATAAACAATTGCTCAAACTAGTGTCATAAGGTTAATTCCTCATTATTAACACTTTCAATACATATTTTAGTAGCACTTTATTTATTTTGATAAGATGTAAAGTATATTTAATACATGTTTAGTTTATTGCATTTATTATTGTTAATCATCCAATTGCTAATGTCCATTTGCAGATATCTAGCTTTTCAACTACATTAATTAAAGATACTATCTTTTTCATTGGATGCACTTACTATCTGAAAAATGTATAGATTTATTTCCATAAATCATGTATATGTATATATATACTCTATTAGCCAATATATCTATTTTTATGCTAGTACCATCCTGCTTCAATATGTCATATTCTGAAATCATAGAGTATTATATTTTCATCTTTGTTCCTTTTGTTAAAGGTTTCTATGACTAGTTTGCATATTTTGAGATTCCACAAAAAATTCAGAATTCATATTTATCACACACACACACACACACTTGTGGAAAGGAGGCACTATGAGGGAAAGTAAGAGTAAAGCACCTACATATATACATATATAATAAAATTACCTTGTAATCTAGAAATCTAACATCTATACATAAAGATAAATAGAAATTTACTTGTGTGAGAATACCCACAGTTCCATGATCTTTGCACTATGATTAACCTCAGCCAAAACATGGAAGTGACTTTGGGTATCCCCAAAATGGTGTTTACCCCTTTGCTCATATTATCCTCCTTCTCTTCAAATGGACTCTGGGAGCTCGGCACAGTGCTTAACTGTGGATCTCTGCATCTGCTTCCATCAATTGCTGGACAAATGTTCTATGATGATAATTAAGGTAGTCATCAACCTGATTATAGGGGAAGCTAGTTCAGGTACCTTCTGCACTAATGCTTAGGGTCTTAGCTGGGTCCATCTAGCCCCATAATGACTCCCTCAATCAAGTCATCTTTCCTTGCTCTCCCTCTCTTTTCTTCCCCCCAACTCGACCATCGCACTCCCTCATTTCTCCCCTCCACTTCCCCATTCAGGGAAGATGTTTTAAATTTTAAAAATGCCACAGCCCATATTTTGAAGTAAGAAACTCTTGAAAAAAATGATGTATAAGGTTTCTCTTTGTGAATAATTACTCTTGACTGTCAATTTGGCA